TCGGACAGCATTTTTCCAAAGCCTGAGTTGATGTTATCATATTTAGATAGTAGTTTGGAAAAATAGGCGCCTTTCTATCTTGCTCATCTGCTAATATTGCTCACACACGGTTCGCGTTGCTGTTGACTGCAATGTCCTTTTTTACACCGCATTCTTCGCAATAATAGTTTGGCGACACTCTTCGTTCTGCCATTGGTTTCGTCGCAGGGAACGTTGGAAACCAAAGACCTCTTCCGCAGTTGTGTGTAGAGAGTGAGAATATGTCCCCATTGTTTCCATTGGTTGTTTAATTGGCTAGATAGTTGAGCGGTGAGATCTTCGGCTGTCTCCGGTGATCGCAGCTTACCGACGTCAAGTTTTTTCTGCGCACGGGAGCGTACGTTGTTGGCGGTACTAAGCCGCATGTGTACTGTGGCTGCGACAAGGTAGTAGTCTAAATCGATATTTGGACCACGAAATGAACGCAAGTTTAGCAAACTTGAAACATGCCTTGCTTCAATCACCAAGTGATCAATCTGGTTTCGTGTTGATTGATTGGACCTTATGAATATCGCAGTATGGGAATCTAGTGCTACATACTACCACGTTTCGTGGCGCAGCGAAAACAAATAGCCTCAGACTTTAGTTGGAGGATCATGAAGGCTGAATTTTCCGACATTTGGACTAAAGATTTTTTCTCTTCCAACATTTACGTTAAAGTCCCCGAGAGCAACACCATTGGCGGGACAAATTTTTATTGTTATAAATAAAAATAAAGAAAATAGAACTTGAATTGCTTAACAATTATTTTCATTTAATTTTGGATTTTTAACTTTAGTTTAAAATTGACTTCAAAAAACATGATATAAGTAATCGTAAAATAAAATAAGTATTAAAAAATATAACAGTACAGTGAAGATAAATGTCACAGTAATGAAGAAATCTAAGTTCAAAATAAAATTAAAAGTCCATAAATATAAATTACCATTGAGATCTCAACAGCGGTTGCAGCCATGTAGTCTAACATATTGAAAGAAAACTTAAATAACCTAACCTTCAGAAATAATAATCAACAAATCTCAACGTTTTAGGCACCTTGTTGTGGTGTAGGGGCTTAGATACAACTTGAGCAGTGATATCACTGATGCTACTGACTGGAATATTGATGGAGTTTAGAGGTTAAGGTAAAATGTGTTGTCTTGTAGTCTATGTCTGTGTTGTTAATATTAAGTTGGTAATTAGTAGATTTATGTTTTTGTTGTCAGTAATTTGTAATAGTTAGTATATTTACGTTTTGTGTAAACTGGCAAGATCTGAATGGCTTAACAATATCCAAGCGTCTCAGGGAGTAGGCGACAATGAAGATCGTCCACTAAGTTTCAGCTTATCAGCCAGACTCATCAGGGTAAGTGCGACAATTTCTCAGGCTGATGGGAAGTCTTGATACGGCCGTGTCTCTGCCAAGGATGGGCCGCTGATTGTCTGGCTGTGGAGAGAACTTCCCGGGTATGTAATAGTAGTAATTGTTTTGTCTTATTATGTATGTGAATATATAAACACTTATTATGTACAGTACCCGACGAAGCCCCCAAATTAGAGGTAGACTGTTATGCCAACGATGCTTGACTTGAGGGGTGCATTCAGTCGATTACTAATGAACTCAAAATACCAAGCGCCCTCCTGTTTTAATTAATGCCTTCCCAAAGCATGGGGTTCTGATTTGGATATTTATATATATAAATATTTTAATAAATATTTTTAAATGGAAAATCTAAATAATAATATTAATATAATTACAGAGCCAGAGGAAGAAGCTCTACTGCATTGACTAACGAAAGTTGAAGAACATATTGAACAAAAACTTAAAGCCTTACTCAAAACTCAAGATCCGAACCCATATGTTTAGAGATCAAACTGTTTGAACACCTCGCCGGTGTTTGACACCCAGGATCCTATGGAGACAGGTGACTGCGAAGGCTCAGGTGAGAGCAACAAAGAGACCAGGAAGAAGGCGGAATACTTCACCGGGGTTCAGACAAGGCGTATCAAGACCATGATTGAAATCGGCTTGGATTTGGAGCGAGGGAGAAGGAGCGATATTCCCTCTACAAAGCTTCCCTGGCGGCAGTAGAAAAAAGTAACTCATATAAATTGTTAGAATTATATGTTTATTAAAATATTTTGAAATTTCATTGCATTAAAAACTTTATATTATTTTTCCCGGTCAATTAAACAGAGCGATAATTCCGACATGTATCCACAGTGTTTTTCGACCGACTCCTGCTTTATTTTTTTTTCACACTCTGCACAAGCTTCAATAATTTAATTTTCGCTGGACACGTTTCGCAGTGTAAGCGCATTGCGTGATCACGTTGTGGGATCGTTGGCTCCCGCTGTAGTTCGCTGTTACAGTTTTATAACACGATACTTAATTTCAGGGCCAATTTTAAATATTATTTATGTTTGGGCAAACCGGTTTGTTATGATCTATATCTAGTTTGATACAGATTTTAGCTAATCCGGCACTTTAACCAGCTTAGTAATTCACTTATGCAGTCTGGCACATGAACCAGTTACGTAATTTATAAATAGCGATATATATATGTAAATATATATATAGGTATTTAGTTATTTATTTTATTATTTATTGATTTTCAAATTCGGCACATAAACCGACTTTGATCAAGGTTCCTTTAGGCACTTAAAACAAAAGAAAACTCTTGGTTGAATTCAGGTTTTGAAATTGAATTAAATGTTTATTGAAAAATGTTGTGCTTTTATACAAAATTCTTAATACTAAGCTTATGGTAAAGGAGGAATTGCACCTAGTTCTCACGATTTGTTATCCGATGGACTTTGAACATTTAAGACCAAGGGCACTCGTGAGAAATATGTGCATTACCTATGCTTATACTATTTAATGCAGCCAGCAAGCTGGTATATGTATTTTGCCATATATCAACCTGCTTCACAAATTTGGTGACTTAAATGTGTTATCACTTACGTCATGCGCCAACTCATATTGCACCTGTGGGAACAACAGAATTGTCGCAGCTGCTTGCCTATTGCTGCAACTCACAACGAACACACGATAAAAGAAAATGAACATAATGCTTATCAACCTTGCACAGTGGCGTGTGAAGATGATCATGTTACGTCTGGCACGCTGATAGCGTGCGAATATTTAGTTGTGAGAGCCAGCAACATTGCTAAAAATATTTGATAACACAAATAAAACCAACAACAAAAACAACATAAGAAGCTAATTTAAAGTACTTATGTATACATATAATTAATACAGTAATAATAATACAATTATAATAATTGATACAATTGATTTTTATAATAAATTTAATATAAAACTTAACATGGTTGTTGCACACCCTACGCATCACAACCGAATAATTGCATTGAAATACTAAGACCAAGGACTGATAAAAGTTCAATAATTCCTCTAATGTGCTCCTATCGTCAGACAATTGAACACGTGGAAGAATGGTCCTTCAGATATCATAGTGGCAAGGACCCATTAAATTTCAACACGTAGAGGAACTAGCAGACGTGTACGGCAGCGATGTGAATCTATTTCCTCGAACAATGCCTCTACTCCTCGAAGGCGAAGCACTGGAATGGTTTCGCAACAACAATTGTCGTTGGCCACTTTGGACACGTTTCAAATACAATTTGTTGTGTTCGCGTGTTGTTAAAATTCGCGCCCTCAGAAGCCGCTCATGGCACGGTGGCTAACCCGGTATGCTCGTCGGTGTTGGGGTGGGGTTCTTGGCAACTGATTCTTCGCGCCATGTTTTATTCTATGTGTTTACCGTCGAAATGTTGTTTTGCGTATACCCGTTTACTATCGGTGTTATTAGCAGCAAGTAATCGTCGGAGATGAAGTTCTTGAGTGACGGGAATAGTATCGTCTTCATCTTGGAGAATTTGGATCAGCTTGTTACCTAATATGTCGCGTGGCTTGAATCCAAAAAGCAATTCGTTTGGAGATTTTCCCGTCGTTTGGCTAATCAGTGAGTTCAATGTACATTGAATGCTTCGTAGTTGCTCGTCCCAGGTTTGGTCATCTTGCGTTGATGGTTGCAGCATGGATAAGATGGTGAGTTTAATCCGTTCGATTTGTCCGTTAGCTCGTGGCGTACGGACTGCGTTGCGTATGTGTTTGATTTGATGATCGTTACAGTATCTTTCAAATTCTTTGGACGTAAAGGCGGTACGGCGATCATTTATTATATATTCCGGGGTTCCAACGTAACTGGTAACTTCATTCAAAACGGCGATAACTCGTTTGGTGTTTGTACCTTTCACTTGTTTGGCAATGACAAACTTTGTGAAACTGTCCACAATAACCAGGATATTCCCAGTTGGTCAACATATATTGTTTTGAACGGAATAGGCTCCATTTTGTTGCAATGCAACTCACCTTCCTTTTTACCTCCTCGACGCTTAGTGAAGGCAAAATCAATGCATGCTTTCACAACAGATTTGACAAAGTTTCGCAATCGAACGAACCACATAAATCGTAGTAAGTTTTCAATCGTTCGGTCAACGCCTAGGTGGTCCGTTTTAATATGCGTATCATGAGTCACCTTCCATCGCAAAGCCTTCGGTACTGCGAAGAGTTGTTGATTTTTATACCGTTTGTACAGTCGTCCGTTAATTATTTTATAGTCGTTAATAATATCTGGGTCTTTCTTCTCAATTTTTATTACGATTTGTTGAAGTTTGCTGTTTTGTTGTTGCATACATTAGTGCCAAAAAGTTTCAGTTATTTCCGTCTTCCAAACTAGCAATGTCGCTTCGTCAAGGTTACAATCGTCTTTGTTAGGCATACAACTTAGGGCACCGACAGGCGCCATTCGTTGTTCGTTTCGATGCTCGATGTTGAGGTCGTAATCTTGGATACGAAGCCACCATTTAGCTATACGAGGTATACATTCTCGCTTTTGCATGTTCAATTTTACAGCATTGCAATCGGTAATGACCGTAAACGATTTTCCATAGATGTATTATTTAAAGCGATCGACGGATTCGACAATTGCTAGCGTTTCTAATTCGTAACTGTGATATTTCCTTTCCAGCGGTGTGGTAGATCGACTAAAGTGCGCCACCGGCTTCCAATTTCTGCGAGTCCGATGCACTTGATGCTCAGCTTTCATTCGGTAACCCGTTAATACTGGTCCGGTTGATAGTGCTTCATTTAGGTTCACAAAAGCGTTCGTTTGTTGGTCTGTCCATTTAAAGACAGCGTTTTTCTTAAGTAATTGTCGTAACGGTTCTGATATAATTGTGTAGCCTGGTATAAACTTTCGGAAGTATCCCGTTAACCCTAAATAGCGCCGTAAATCTGTGTGTGTTGAAGGCATGTTGAAGTTTCGGATGGCTTCGGTCTTGTTTTCACCCGGCGTAGTCCTGAAGTTCGTTGCCGCTGACAAGCATATCGTCCATGTAGTGAATTATATCGCTTGATTCCAAGCGCGTTTTAATTTTCGCCATCAATTATAGAAACAGGACTGGTGCGTTCTTCAACCCGAACGGCATCCGTTTAAACTCAAACTTTAAGACCATCAGGAACCACAACAGCAGTATATTTGCGACTGTTACGTTCTATAGGAATTTGATAATAACCACAGTTTAGGTCTAACGATATGTAAATTCGATACTTCGTTGCTTTTTATAAACTTTCTTCGATATTGGGCATTGGGTAGCATTCTTTTCGTGTGAATTGATTTATCCGACGGTAGTCCACACAAAGTCGATGTTCGCAGTTCTTTTTCTTCACAAGCAATATTGGACTCGCATAACTTGATTCAGATGGAGATAAAAAATCATTGTCGAGCAACTCTTAAATTTTCTTCGCAACGATTTCTTTTTTCGAATTGAGTTAACGATTTCTGGTCATTAACTCAATTTTCATTTCGATTCTCTCCATACCTGTTGCGACACATTCTCGGAATTCATTCATCACTGTTAACAGCTTTCCTTTTGAGTCTGAGTTTACAGTATCCACACACACGTCATCTTCCGTTATTGGGCTAAGTTTATTAATTTTACACATCGTTTTTACTTTGTTTTCGAATTTGAACTGTCCGTTGTCATAGACGGCGCATATATTTTCGCAATTAAATATTTCTTCACCGAGCAATAGATCATAGTTTAATACAATATCTTTAAAAACGTACAGCGTCAACGGTTTTTCAACATCATCGATTATCAGATCCGTCTCGATTAGTAAATTGGATCGTTCTTAACCACCACCGATTCCACCGATTTTCTACGCGTTCCACTTATGTCGTTGGCAAATGTTTTTCGAATCATATTACATTCGCTTCCAGTATCAATAAACGCAATAGCCTGCTTACCGCCAATCTTTGTTTGCTCAAGAAATTTATTGTCGTTTATTTTTATTTTACGCACGAAAGCTGATGGTTTTCCGCAATTTTGCTGTTCATTCCTGGGATGCACCTTATTCCAATCTACACAACAAGGACGTTTTGGGGGTCTTGCACAATTTACTTACCACAATTGTAGCACATAACCGTCTTTGCCTTACTGATCGATTGTAGATTTTGTTCGCTTTCACCCGCATTGCGGAAATGATTATCATTTATCTTAATACAATTTTGTAAAAAGTTCTCGCACGCTTCACGCATTTCTTTAACGGTTACGAATTTTTGCGGAACAATCGCCATTTGTAGTTCTCGATGTTTTAATCCCTTTCGAGCGTATTTCGTGATAGCCAACTCACTAAGATTATGGCGTCGTCCTAGCGTAAAGATACGAAAAATAAACTCAGGTATTGTTTCGTTTCGCCTTCGAGCAACGCGCGACGTATTGTAATGTATATCCGCTTCATCATACTGGTAACCAAACTCGGTGATAAGCTCATTTGAGAATTACTTCCAGGTGGTATGCATTCTTGGTGATGCGTCCACACACATGCGCGCTACACCCTTCAAACGGCTACACACTGCAAGAAGCACACTTTTCGGGCCATGCATATACAAACATAACAGCTTCAAAACGTTCGACAAATTGTGCAGTCGTAATAGAATCTTCATTCGTTGGATCGAATTCGTGCAAAAATTTCCGCGATTTCTCGTATCATATCTGAAATACTGTCTCGAAGTCTTTCCGGTGCATTTGAAACAAAATTACGTCGGCTTATTAATGGCACTGGCGTTTGCATATATTCTTGCTGACTGTTTTGATTGTGTCTAACGTTATTCTGGTTAATGGCTACTTGTTGAACTATTTGCCGCAGTTCGCTAATTTGTTTTCGCAGTTCTACATTTTCACCTCGTAATTCTTCATTAGAATGTTGTTGTGGTGTGAACTGCAACTCATTTTTAAAATAAAATAATATTTGTTGTTTTATGGTAAAAAGCGTTTATTAATTATAGCATCCACTCGGTATGCTTGTCTAAAATTGAATGTGTACTTATGCTCCGCTTCATAAGCTTAGAGCTAAACTTAACATACAATAATAGCTTACGTTAGCACTTATTATGTATCTAAGGGAATGGTAAAGCATGCATACATAATATCTTATCGCACATAGCGTGGTTTTAAATAACATGAAAGCATTGCTGCTTCATGTGTGCTTAAGCAACAGGAATGTGCTGGCCAGGCATAATTCATGTAGCTGTGCATTACAAAGTAAATTATATAGTCTCTTTAGACTATTTAGCAACAAAGTATATTTATTGAAGTTGCTTTATATATGTAAATGTATGCATACTACACCTCCCTTTTTAAAAGGAATGGATTTATTTATAAATTCATTCCAAACACATATAAATGAAATATTATTATTGATTCAATATAAGAAAATTTATTTAATGTCTTTTATTTTTTTTTTATAATCTTATGTTAATATTATGTTGTAATTAATAATGAATTAATGAAATAAAAGAGAAAATTGTAAAAATTATACTTTATATTATTTTATATTTCTATATAAGTCTTAACCTATCCTTATGTATTAATATTAAACTATTATCTTTCTTACTTTTTAGTGTGCAATTATTTCTATCATCAATACTAGTTACTATATAAGGTCCAATATATCTATTATCTAACTTATGTCCTGATTCATTTGAAATTAATACTAAATTTCCTATCTCTACCTTAATTCTATTTTCTTTTCTATCATAGTTTACTTTCTGGGTCTGTTTTTATTTTTGTATTTGGGCATTTGCTTGTTTTTGGGCTACCTGAAGTCTGTATTTCAACTCCTTATCATATGATTTATAATTATAAATAGGGTCTATTTGTTCCTGATTTAAAAACTCATACACAGAAGGTGTTTTGCCAAAAATTAACTCAAAGGGGCAGTAACCATGTACTACAGATGGTGTTGTATTATAACAATAAGTATAATATTTTAACCATCTGTCCCAGTCAGTTTTGTCAGATTTTACATAGTTTCTAACGTATTCGTTAAATGTTCTATGATTCCTTTCTATTGTTCCTAAAGTTTGGTGATGATAAGGTGTTGATGTTTTATTTTGTATTTGTAACAATTTACAGATTTCTGTTAATATTTGATTTTTATATTCCGTTCCCATGTCAGTGATTATAGTTTTCATGGGTCCATATAAAAGTATGAAATTTTCAAATATTGCTTTTGCAACTATTTGAGCATGTTTGCTATTTACTGGTATGGCAACAACGTATTTTGTGAGATCACATACCATAGTGATTGCATATTGATTTTGTTCATCCGTTTTAGGTAGAGGTCCGATCGTGTCTATAATGACCGTATCAAATGCTTTCACTGGTGTTGGTGTAATTACCATAGGTGCTTTAGTTTTGCGCCCTGATTTATTTATTTTGCATTTAATGCATGACTTGACATACTTTTTTATGTCTCTTGTCATATTTTTCCAATAAAAATATTTTGAAATTTTTGATAATGTTCTAGAGATTCCCGGGAGTCTTCCAGAAATGGGATCGTCATGGTACTTTTTAAGGATTTCTAGAATATCCTTTTTTGTTAACAGCCTAGTTTTGCTAGGTATGAGCTCTATTTTAAAATTGTCTAACATGTTAGTTCCTTCTTTCTTGAACGTATTTATCCGGATAATCTTAAATATGTCGTCTCCTAGAGACATTTGGGCCTTTTTTATTCCATTATTACTAGCTATTTTTTCAAGCTTCAGAAAGAGTTGACCTAAATCAATTTTTCTGTTAGTAGTAATGTCGTTCATATTAATTGTGCCTTTTATTATTTTACCTAGCTTTATACTGATAGTATTACCCTTAGTATATACTATGGCACTTTTTCTTTTTATATTTTCTTCAAGAGCTTCATAAATTTTTTCATTGAATTGAATTTCTTTGTTTTCGTTTATGGTCATATTTTCAACTTTTTTTCTTGATTGTGACCTTGTTTCTACCTTGAATAGGTTTCTTTATTCTTGTATATTTTTAATATCATTAAAGTTCACTCTTGATAATGCATCTGCTGTATAATTTTCTTTACCCCTAATATACTCTACTAAAAATCATATTCCTCTAAATCTAAACGCATCCTAGTTAACTTAGATGACGGGTTTTTCATGGAGAATAGATAAGATAATGGGCGGTGATCGCTTTTGACTAAAAACTTTCGACCATATATGTACGGTCTATAATAAGTAATTGCCCAATGAATTGCGGCCAATTCCTGTTCTATTGTAGATTTATTGCTTTCTCCTTTTGTAAAAGCTCTAGAAGCATACGCTATTGGGAGTTGTTTATCACCATATTTCTGGCTAAGTACTGCACCACAGGCATATTTACTTGCATCTGTTGTTATGCAAAATTCCTTTTCAAAATCTGGATATTGTAATACTTGTGGACTTATTAATGAACTTTTTAAATATTGAAATGAATTTTCACACTCTGTACTCCAAATAAATTCAGCTTTCTTTTTGCATAATCTTGTTAATATTCTAGAATATTGAGCAAAATTAGGGACGAACCGTCTATAGTAATTGCAAAAAGCTACAAATCGTTTTATCTCATCTGCATTTTGGGGAGTTGGATAGTTTTGAATAATATGAAACTTACTATCGTCTGGAAGTATGCCTTGATTTGTGCATTTATGTCCTAAATATGTCACTTCGTGACTGAAAAATGAACATTTATCTGGATGCAATTTAAGATTATATTTACGACATATTTCGAAAACATCTGTAAGATTTTTGAACATGTGTTTTACGGAACAGCCTAAAACAACTAAATCATCCATGTACAAGAATGCTTGTGCTGGAGATAGGCCTGAGAATGCTAGAGTCATCATTCTCTGAAATGAATTTGGTGCTACTTTGAGACCATATGGGAGTCGTTTAAACCTGTATGAGCCATTATCTATAGAGAA